AGTGCTGAGTCAATGCTATAACTTGTTAGGGTTTAGTTAGGGTTGGTTAGGGTTGGTTAGGGTTTGGATAAAGGGTAAGAATGGTTAGAGAGTAATATAATATCAGTATTGAGTCTGATATAATCATTGATTGCTGTTGACAACATTTGTTGATTGATTTAATTATCAATATCTGACAGCGTAGTGTTGTAGTCAATAGGACTGAGTCCTATTCCATAGGATTGAGTCCTATTCCATAGGACTGAGTCCTATACAGCCAGTCCTACTCCTACTCTTTTCGTATATACTCATGGTTGGTCACTGGTCTTTAGACCGACACCACATTCATTTTTGTCGACGTCTGATCCCCCTTCACCTATCGAAAAAGTCTCTAGTATCCACGGCCATGTTTAAACTTGCAGCCAGGCGCGGTGTCGCGCTGACGTCGGAACAACAAGCCGAAGGATTCTTATTTTATCGATTGGCCAAACTTACAAGATGAATGCTCCACGACTTGCCATTGCCAGTGAAGGCGGTGCTTATCAGCTCGTTGTCCGGTCTTGATTGTTGCATTTGATACTGATGCTAGGTCGCTGCAGCGATCCACACATGTAATGGCCATGAACACATCTCCAAGTCGAACTTCATTCTTTCCGACAAGCAAGGCATTACCAGCGAGAAAACCAGCGAGAAAAACGCGGTTTTCACGGTTCTGTTTCGTCCACCGCAAGATTCAGTACCAATAAAGCCGCATCTGTCCCTGCTCCACAAGCGGCCGCAGTGCTTCCAACACGTCGCCCATTCGCCCCGCCGCGCGCGCCAGCTCTTCGCGCGTCCCCGTCGTCTTCACGTCCGTGCGTGCAACCGTCAGCGTGTTCCGGAAGACAAGTCCGCTGCCGCATCGCGAGGCAACGAAGGCGCGATAGACGGCGGGGGTGAAGTTGAAGAGGGCGAAGCACACGAGCTTCTCCAGGCGCGGCACGATTGGCGCAGAGTCGGGGGACCGCGTCAACCGTAAAAACAGAGTGTCAGTGAGGGCGTAGCACGGGCCGCGGTCCGGGCCTGTATGTAGCGGGTGATCGCCGGCGGTGAGCTCCTCGAGCGCGGGCAGCTCGGTGAGGATGTTGATGATTCTCTCGTCTTTTAAGAGAATTCGGTGGACGTCCAACACCCGCAGGGTCTGTGCGAACCCCGAGCGGCGCGCAAACACCGTGAACTCCTGTGCGGGCCAGATGGCAGGGAACTGGTGGCGGTAGAACGACAGGCTGTGCAGCCCGCGGAGAGTGAGGGAATCGAAGAGGTAGCGCGTGAAGTCGAGTACCTGTGTCGGGTTCGGCGCGGCGGTCAGATCAAGGTGGAGTGAGCCGATTGTGGACGCTGTCACGGGGGATGTCGTCAAACGGCTGCCCCACATGTGCGTGATATAGTGGAAGGTGAAGCTAGCACCGGGCGGGAGCTTGGCGAAGAGGCTGGTGAAGCTGACAGTCCCGTTGTCAAGATAGACAAGCGAATGCAACTGCTTGAGCGGCAGGACGGGGGTAAACTTCTCCGCCACGGAGTTGAGCGTGACGTGTTGCAGATTTGGCGCATCGCGAAAGATGTCAGATGGGGGCGAGATCACGTCGGCAACATGGTCGCTTTTCTGAGGGGTTGCGGAGACATACAGCGTAAGTGCAGTCAGGGCCGTCAGCTTCCCGCGCATTTCTGTCAAGGCGACAAGCTGGTCGCTGTCGAGGGCAAGGTTGAGGGTAGCGATCTGCCCGTAATGATTGCGGAGAAGAGTCTTCACGATGTCCACCACTGCAACGGGCGCACGGCTGAGGTCAAGTATGACCCTCAACATGTGCCTTCCCGCACGCTGCAACACGCGCGTGACCGCAGCTACACAGGCCTTGGGCTTGAGTGGCCAATACTGTGCATGGATCTCGACTTCGGCCCAGAGCGCGGGGGTGTGCATCACGACGGCATGCCAGTGGGAGCAGACGGTTGCGATGGTGCACAGATCTCTCTTGCGCAGGTTGGCGAGCTCCATACTCTCGTTCCAGCCCGCCCGCGACGCGCCGAAGAAGCGCACGATTTCGCCGAGGATTTCAGGGGGGACGCGGTTGATGGGGGAGTCGGGCTGGGGCTTGGGTTCAGGCGGGGGCATTGGTGGGCCGAAGCGCGACGCGAGGGTCCGCAGGCGTTCCATGCGTCAAGAAGAAGATGAAGGAGGACGGTAGGGATCAAGTGTGACCGTGACGTTTACGCGATGTCGATCATCGATATCAATCTCGTTACCGTGACTCCAGACTCTTCTCTTTCTCACGTTCCGCCATGACGAACCCGCAAGAGCTGCCTGGCTCAAACACCCAGTTGTCGCCAGTCCAGCAACTCCCGCCAGAACTCCTCAGCAAAATCTTCACACACTGTCTCCCGACGACACACAACCCCGTGCTCAGTGTCTACGCCGCTCCGCTATGGCTCGGCCGAGTGTGCGGGGCGTGGCGCGCCACGGCATGGGCGATGGGCAGGCCTCCACGTGTCTGTCGCTCACGTGCGCAAGCGGCCCGGTGCTGCCGCGGCGGTGGAAGCGTGGCTCAAGCGTGCGGGCGGCCTGCCGGTGTCGCTCTCGGTCGTGTATCGGAATCATGTGCGTGGGGAACGCATCACTCACGATGATGTCGCGTTCTTAACATGGCTTGTGAGGCTGTGCAACGGTCGGCTGGCCGACTTACAGGTGCGCGAGCCGGCCGGGGGCCAGCCAGTCGTTGGCCGCATATCCTGGCCAACTTTATATGGTAGTTTGCGTACACTCCGCCTCTGCGGAACCGCAGCCTTGCTGGCAATCGGCGACCAGACCATCTTCCCCTCGCCAGGATTGACTGCGCTGTCCCTGGATCTGCGGCTCGGCTTTTCCGCGGCTGAGGCCTATGGGCAGAATCTCGTGAAACTTCCAGTGCGCTGGGGCCAGCTGACGTGCCTTACCCTCCGCGACGGACTGCAGCTGAGCGTTGCCGCCTTCCTCCTCAGGCGCTGCCCCCTTCTTACCCGGCTGGTGTTTCGACTCCAGAGCCCGGGCCCGGCCGGTGCCGTTCCGGTGGAGGACGGCGTCATTTCCCATATTGGGTTGGAAACTCTCATTATCCTCGGCGGAGCTTACTCTTCAGGCAACGACGTCACGCACTTCTTGGGCAACACTGTGGCCCTCCCTCACCTCCGCAAGCTGCGCCTGCCCATGCTAACAACCGGCGACATCCAGCTCTCTCTCGGCACACTCCTTCCCGCAGCTCGCCCATCTCTCGCTCTGTGCCCAGTCCTTCTCTTCCCTGCCTGCCGCGCTGTACAGCGTCCCGGCTCTCTCATCGCTCGACATTCGGTGCGATGGCGGGCCGTGGGCATGGAACACGCCCGCTGTGTTTTGGATCTTCCTGTCCACACCATCTCCGCTCCCCGCGCTCTCCTCACTGTCCATCACCGGCCTCAACCCGCCCGCAAACCTCATCACGCGGCTGCTGGCGGCCCGCGCCGGGACGCTCCGCACGCTCCGTGTTCGCCGGCCCGATGGCTGGGCCGCAGTTGAGCTCGACGACGCCGCACCGCGTGTGCGCGCGTTGGCGGGCCCCGGCCAAGACATTCTGATCTTCGTGGACCCGCCGGAGGACGCAGACGACGAGTATCGGCTGTTTGGCCTCCCGCACTTCTACCCCGTGACGCCGAAGGAACCAGACGCGTGGGATGGGCTGGAGGACGCCCAGACGGATTGGATGAATCTTTAACATGCATTATATAACACTAGCTATAATCATATTATGATTATATTCACACCGGGGTTTTACCGTACCGATACCCACTTTTGGCAACAGGTTCCCTCAAAGAAATTCACCTCAGGACAAACATGGGGACTCGGTCACTCGGAGCCTGAGGTGAATTTCTTTGAGGGAACCTGTTGCCAAAAGTGGGTATCCAAATCAAGGGACCTTGATTGGTCCGAACCTTGCTAAGGCTTGCAGTAAGTATCGAAGTCCAGCTTAAACTTTGGGAGCGAGCTGCGAGCAGGGATACTGATCCGAACGGGGCGATCCGCAAGGTGTCGGGCCCCCGGAAGGTAGCGGGCGACCCGTTGCCAGATTCATTAGCCGTCGCGCATCCCCATGAGCCACTGTGGGCCGGGGGATGTTACAGTATTATTATGATATTATTATGCCAAATGCATAATTAATTATAGTTGTATTAATAATAATAATAATAATAATAATAATATGGCAGAATAATAGATCATGATATAATAATGGCCAGCACTAATTTGAATCCAAATCTCCTGTTGTTATCTTGGTTCATCATCCAGGCTGTCTTTTCCTCGGATTATTGTACATACTATTGCATAGTTCAAGGCCCAATTGGACTGAGTAAAAAAAGTAAATTCCTTACAAGTTCAGAGTTGATCAGCATCCGCCAGTCATTGTCTTTATTTGGGTTGTGCTGGCGGTGGAGAGTGGCAGTGGTCTTGTAATCATCAACATCTCATTGAATCCAGGCTGATAAGAAAGATCAAGGCCTTATTCTGCGGGAGGGATGACGTGGTGCTCACTGATAATCTCCGCGAGCGGCGATCCTAAACACTGCTGGAGGGCTTTTTTTAGTGAAACGCCGTCGTAAAATCATGATCATGATCCCACACTGCCCCCCAATTTAGGAACGGGATTCGAATTCCGGACCCTCGAGATCATAGATGAAAGGTCACAGCGCTTAAATTGAATATACATCGCGGATGTTGGCCGTGCGTGCCGCCATTGAATCGCGTGTACGGAGATTTGGTATCACATCAAAACGTGACGAGGCGTGACGCTTCTTCCTCATGCGTCCACGCTCCCGAATAGCCACCATCTTCGAAAGAGGGATGCGACACGGGATGGCGTCTGCTCAGCGTGCACCAAACCCGTTCTCCTTGGCGCTGGTACCACTGCTTTGCGCCACCCGTTGACGCCCTCCCCCACCTTAAATACGCCTGCAGAAGGCGAGTTTGTCCGCCGTCGCTGGAGATGACCCCCACACGCTCTTTCCCGTTCCCTCCTGGGCTGGCCCTCCCTTCTTCGCCCGTCGTCCGCGCCAGTAGTATCACTTCCCCCACACTACCACGCCCGCCACGCAAGCGTGCGCTACTTATCGGCATTCAGGCCGACCTCGGGCCCGGCTATCCGCGCCTGAGGGCCGCGCATTCCGACGTCCACAAGACTCGAAGTCTCTTGCTTGATTGGTACGCAGCTATGAATCCAAACATTGCGAGACTGAAAGTGGGCAACAGCTATGGGTACGCGCCGGCGGATATAACCGTTCTTCTCGACGATGGTGTGGTCGGGCACGTGCAGCCGCTTGCTGTGAACGTGGTGCGTCGTGTTTACCCTTTGGCGCTGCAGACGGCTGATCCCGCGCATTGGCAGCTCGCAGCTATAGACTATCTCGTCAAAGATGTTCGCGCCGGCGACCGTCTTTTCTTTTACTGTTAGTCATTTTTTCCCCCTCGTTCTCGCATGATATGGATTCCCTAGACTCTGGTCACTCGACGCAGGAGCCGAATGACACGCGCACAGAGGAAGATGGGATGGATGAATGTGTGTTGCATGCCATTTTTGTTCTGACTCCGCCCTGAATGCGCATACCAGTTATCGTACCGCTCGACGGGCTGGATCATAAGATTAAGGATGATGTACGCAGCTGTCACGGTCCCGAGATTCTGATATCACTCATCCGATACCAGGATCTCCATCGTAGCCTTGTTGCGCCACTTCCTGCCGGTTCACATCTTGTTGCCTTGCTTGATACATGTCATTCGGGTTCGCTGCTTGGTTTGTGATGCTCTGTGTCTTAGCAGCTAAGCTGACCACGAAAACAGACTTGACGCATTTCCGCTGCAACCGCGTCTACGTTCCGTGGAGGTGGCGAAGAAAGCATGACAGTGCGGATGTTGGCCGCCGGTACGCCGCTGGTTCGTCCACTGCCACTTCTGCTCCTTCTGTCACTCATCGAGCATTCAGCGCGCAATAACGCGATGCTACCGCGCAACTCTACGGCGGCCTCTCCGGGCTCTCCCACGTCTTACGCCAAGAAAAGAAGATCAGCGACAGAGGGAGAGGGCCAGGTATTCCGCCTCGGCGAAAAGGTTCTATTCTGCGACAGCCCCAGTTCTGAATTTTGTACGGGCTGGTGCCGCGACAAGAAGCGCGGGCCGTGGGATTACAGTGCAGGCCTCGTCCATGCGGACGTTATCTCGCTGGCAGCTGCGAAGGACTCCCAGCAGGCGTGGGAGGGGAAAGGGGCGGTCAGTCTGACGTCGGTGAGTCAGTTATCCCGGCAAGGATACTTTTGTTAATGATTCAGTGTCTGGTGGACTTGTTGCGGGAAAACCAGGACGTTACGCTGGAGGAAGTCCTGCGTTCGGCGAGGTAAGCCTCACCATCCGAAATTACGCGCTGCTGAAAAACTCCACCAGCTTTGCGGCATATAAAATGTCTCTCGGCCGGCATAACGACGCGCACGGACGGAGAACGTTCCTGAAGGCCTCGCAGAAGAAGCTTGCGGATTGGTGCAAGGCACTTGATCCGACAAATCTCAAGTGCGCTAGGGCGTGTCGCGCAATCCTGGCGCTTGTGCCCCTGGTTCGCGAGCAGCGCAAGCAGGGCCGCGGGGATATGGACTCCTTCCAGAACCCAGAGATGGCGAGCGCCGCGCCGCTGGATATGCAGCGCAAGTGGGTTATGTAGGTTAGACTGGTTGTTGTTGTTGTTTTGGGACTTTACTGCACTGAAGCGATGGATCGCTCTCACGTTCCTTTATTTTTATTTCTCGGTAACTGTATGTACAGTATGTACTGTATGCTCTTTAAGATTATTAGGACTATCGTCGCTCTGAGACTAAGTATATGACGCAGCGATAAGAAAGCTTCGCTACTGAATTGCCGTTGACTCGGATGCATCCATCTATGCCTGCGTAATGGACTGATTGATATATATATGATGCGCTACCAATGGGGAATATAGATGCTCCAATCCACATCCATCAGATATGCCTGAGAGAGTTTCCGCAGCGCCACAAACGGCAGAACAATCAAGATGGCACGTGCGGGGACATAGAGTACTCCTGTGCAGACGAAGAGCAGCTTGTAGTCCGGCAGAAAGTCGACGAGCATATCAAGCACGCAGACCGCCAGTGCGAGAACCGGCACGCCCGTCAGCGCAAGCGCGGCAGCACGCCACAACCAAGTCTCCGCAGCGGAAAGGAAGTGCGCGTTCCAGGCGGCGATATGGATGGCACCGAAGACGGCCGCAACGAGCAGCTCGGCAAAGAGCGCGTTGTAGCCTTGGTCGTCGGATTCGTCGGCAAACCAGAATGTGGGGACGGAGAACGCGGATGTGGGGTCGAAATATTTGGAGGACACAGAGAAGCCAATGAGCCGGAGGTAGCGCGTGGACAAAGGGGCGCGTAAAGTCCTCTTTACCCGCACAGTCCATATCCGCCCGCTCTCCCCATCAGCATTGTCCGAACTCATTAGCCTTGATGTTTCTGCAGCGACTCCGATAACAATGGGCTCGCGCACGTCCAGCGGTTTATGCCACCACAATGCCCATGTGCACAAGCTGACTGCCGCGAATGCTGCTGTTGCGACCTCCAGCTGCGTTACCGGCAGTCGCTGGATCACGCGCGCAAGTGTCTGCACGACGAACCACAGGCCCTGGCTGAACGCGACACCCTTGGTGAATCCATCGCCTTTGCTCTTATCCTCGATGTCCTTCGCGTCGACTGCCCGTATAGCGGCGATAGTGCCCTTCTGATTCAGCTGCGCCTGGGTGACCAGCGGGTGCCCATCGCTGTCGACAAACCCGCCCATGCAGATGAAGAAGCCGTGCGTCATTGAAACATTGTATGCTGGATCGTTGCATTAGCGATTAGACGCCACGAATAGAGAGGAGCTAGGCGTACTGCGAGAAAAGTATTGCGCCATCGAACGCTGTCGTCCTGCAAACCCAGCAATGAGCTCCGGTGCCAGAACGCCGACGAGCATAAGCTTCAGCCGCGCACGGAAAGCGGCTGTGCTTGGGACGAAGACGGACAACGTGGACTGCCGCGGCGTTAATGGGGAGAGGGGAGGTAGGTTTGGGTGCACGGAGACCCAGACGCAGGCAAAGATTGTGACTAGACATCCCCAGACGATGTCGTAAGGTGTGCGGCACTGGTGGATGTCGTCGCAGGCGCCGGAGGAGGCCATGGAAGGGCAGATGGGGAGGGAGAGGTGAGCGCGGGAAGCAAGGCTCCGAAGAAGCGAGTTCGCTGTCGACGTCGTCCGACTGACACCTGCACAGAGTACCAGTATGAGGACCGTAAAGGCGATGACAAGTTGATTCTTGTCAGTGCTATTTTGGCATCGAAGTCACAGCCTCTGGAGGCGGAGCATCAAGCTATGCAGGTAGCAAGCAATTGCAAGAGACAGCAAGGGCCCGAATCCTGATCATGGTGGTTAGAGATCAAGTGAAAATTTGAATCATATCACATTTGAGAATTGATACGTCACATCACCAATCACGTCACCCTTTTGCTCTTGACGCTCATCATCGACAAAGGCTGCCTCGCATGCCACGAGCTGAGCTCCCGCTGGAGCTCTGGCTCGAGGTGTTTTTACACCTCTCTCATGATTCGCTCCGCCATATCGCGCTCGTCAATCGGCGCTTCGCCAACTTTTCGCGACCTTTGCGATTCGCCACCCTCCTGATCCATCCATACGCGATCGACATAGCCGAGCCTGTAGATTCGCCCATACGACTTACACCTAACGCGGCACTGATGGAAAACGTCATCGCCCGCCTGGACTTCTTTACGGGCAGTGATCTGGCACCCTTTGTCCGCAAGTGTGTTCTCCAAGCATGGCCGGTCTTCGGTGTCTCATACTCCTGCCCGTGGAACCGGACACAGGTGCAGAAGACATCCCCATACGTCGTTCTCGATGTACTTCTCCCTCGTCTTGCCGGCGGGTGCTTTCCACATCTACGGCACCTCCAACTGCTGGACTTGGTCCTCGAATGGCGCCACCTTACACAGCTCCCCGAGCTCGAAACGTTTGATGTCCGCGACGTAGTCATCGTCGATGACCCGGAGACTTGCCCGGCACACCTCATCCATACTTTTATAGTGCGAAGCTTCTCCTTCGCTACCTGGAACCCAATGTCGCCACCGCGCACCAACCTATCGACGTGGTTGCAGTTTATGAAACCCGGCACACTCCACTCCCTCTCTGCCACGTGTCAAATTGCTTCTTTGGATATGGTCTACCCCTGCGTTGTCACCCTTACGCTCAAGCTCTACTCCTCCCCGACACTGCGCCAGATGACAGACACCCTGAATTGTTTTCCTTCCGCTCAGCAGGTCTTGATCCGATGGGCCGGCCCGCGCAATGACGTGCCAAGTCCCGAAACCCATCTCACGCTGCCTCTTCTGAGGCAACTCGAGTTGAGATATCAGTGTCGCTCGCTGCTCCCTCTTTTCCTCGGTAACGCTGGTGCCAGCTCCCACCTGACACATCTTCGAATATCGCAGTTCAGCTTAGAGGACTTTATTGACGCAACAGCTGGTCGGTGTGCGATGACCATCAAAGTACTGGAACTGCAGCTGTCGTTCGCTATTCATACTCTCGACATCCCGTATGCGCGTCTCCGCACCGTCTTCGACGCTTTTCCAGCACTGGAGTCTGTGGACCTCCATATCATCTGCACTATCGAAGACATGCCATCACCCGATTTCAATCCTCTTGTGCGTTGACTAAATTATATGGAACAATTGCCGCTGATTGCTTATCACGTTCAGGCTTTTGATTTTTTCAGAGACCTTGCTCTAAGCGCCAGGCTGCCCTCCCAGCTGAAGAACCTCGCCCTCCGTTGGCTGTTCAGCTACGAATCCGAACCGTCTGACCCGGCAGCTGGGTACGAGGAGCGTGACAGCAACGACTCGGACACGGGGTCCTCCAATAGTGAAGAGTCAGAATTAGCACTGACGCAGCCACACGTACCACACAACGCGGGGTTGGTTGACCTGCGCCGTGTGCGCGAAAAACTCGCAGAGCGCTGTTCCGTCTTGGAAGACACGTTCATCGACGGCCAGACATTTACATATTGGTGGCAGGGTGGACCGGCCCGGGAGGAGTTCATTGAAGACCCGGGTATGTCTGTCGTGCATTTCTGGCCTACCTGTATTAAATAAGTCTCCAGAGCATGATTCGGCATTTGAAGCTGCAATGTACGAGCTACGCGGGCGATGGCGCGCGGTTACTATGGTCAATGCCGAGACTGACCAGTAGCTATGTTGTGGCAACTTGGGTGTGTGTGAAGGTTTCACCTAGATTCCTAGATGCCCACAACCATCCATTAAGCAACATGATCATGATCCGAGGATTCTAAAGAAAACTGGACCATTTTAAAATTTTTAATGAAGCTGATAATAGGCCAAACAAGGCCACATTTATTAATTGGAAAACACAGTTAAAAAAGGTAAAGTTGATGGAAAATGAATCTATGAGGGAAAAACAGCTTCCCAGATTGTGTTCTGTAGGTTGATTCAAGTGGGGTTCAAGATTTGAATCCCGGATATAGGGTCAGATTTCTTTTTTTTCTAACCCTCTGGGACCCCCTCCCTTACTATATATTCCCACGATAAGATAAAATCTTGAATCAGGTAACCGATGATGGGATCAAAAGCGGCGCAGAAATTAACATTTTGGACAAACTTTGTATGCATATATATATATCTCTTTTTATAGACTCACTTTCAGCTCTTTAATGCTATGGATATGGATAAGCCATGACTGAGCTAAGAATGGTCACCTGCTATCAATAATTGGATGACAACAATGTCGCAAGATGTCACCCTGCACCTATCTAAGCCCAAGAACCTTGAATTATTCAGATATAGGGCATAACTTGAGCAATAGGGTAACATACAGTGAGTATTATATATTTTTAATGAATATGGACCTATATGTGGTGCAAAGAATCTTTATACAAAAAGTTTTTTTTGCTACCCCTCCCCTCCCCCTATGTGCCTGATAAGGATCTTGAACCCTCTGTCAGGCTTCGGGTGGGGCCGTGCAAGGTCTTCTTTTAAGAACGCACACCCGGGACAGAACAGACGAATCATTGCCCGCAAGCAGGGTAAGCGGGGTAGATCAAAACCGAATGGGCCCATTAACTCGGTCCCATGTCGCTGTCGGTGGTCGAAGGTTTGAATTGGGTCATTTCGGGCCCGCTGTGTTGGTGATTCCTTCTTGCATGGAGAAAAGTGGTACTGTCGACGATCTAGGCAATAGAGTACATGGTACACTATCGCGCATTATATACATGGGTGTCACAAACAACACCAATTCAGAGGATGCCAGTTGGCCAGTGAAGGCAAGCAAGAAGCACTGTGAAAGGATATCGTAAAGATGATGGAATTCGAAGACTGGGGTACAAGACGAAATCTACTCTACTTATATACACTACACTACTACCATGTGTTTACCATGCCTAATACGAGAGGCAATGACATTATACTTTAGCTATGCTGTTACATGCTGTTTGCCTCATGTCCAACTCCACGCTGTCAATCAACATCAGCATTGACATCTGATGATCCAATCACCATCTTATCGTCTATCTTATCTCCTCCTTGTCTTATCTTATCAACCAGGGCTAGAATACTTAACAGGTTTCAAAGGCAAAGAAAAAGGTTTCTTGAACCCAGGGTATGACAGTGGGCCCACAAAGGGGTGATTGGACACCCTGGCCTCTCTTGCTCCTCCCTGCCCTTGTTCCTGGCCACAGAGGGGACAATCATGCATCACTTGCGGGCCAGGCACTACTCCTAATCTCCTAGCACTCCTCCCTAGTCCCCTGGTGTTGAGTTGGGCTCAGCAATGGCTCGACATATTGTTCTCGGTCACGTGCTTCCCATGTGTGCATTCCTTCTACTGGGACGCCCATTCCCGTCGTCACGTGCTGTGTGTTGTGGGCCCATGATGGGCCGGGTCTTATCTGTGACACCCTCCTTGGTTCAATCAGCCTCCAAAGCCCTCTGACAAGATTGTGAGAGGTGGATGTGTCACAATTGTCACAGATTGTAGATGGAAAGTAATTATTTTTTTTGTGTCAGTTGATATGGAAGAATGAGACCTTTCAAATGCACCACTTCCGAGCCTAATCCATTCAGGGATTTTCAATTATGAAGTCACTTTTCAATTCTGATGCACATCATAGTGCTTACTTATTACTCTCATTAAGAATTTTAAAAATCCTTCATTTTTCTTCCAAATCCTCAGGGTGATCAGATTTTCTGACCTTCATACATTGACATCTACTATGTCCCTGCCAACACTCCTGCTATTGGTAAAAGTGTACAAAAGTCTCTGCATGTTTGTGTGTCAGCCCAGCTGCACCCCTGCACCAGCACCTCTATCTTCTATCTCTATGAAGTTTCATTGCACTAGGGCTTGGGCTGCCCCTCATTGCTGGGAAACCAAGGAGGTCAAGATGACGCAACTGCTTAACATGCTATGAAGAAGAGTGTGTCAAAGAGACTGAGCTGTGACAACTCTGGTAGCTTCAGAAGCATCTCCACTCTAGCCCACTCCCCTCAATCTGTGCCATGGACCTCTCTGGCCCTGACAACAGAGACTATTCTGATTCCAGTCTTGATTCAGGTCTGCCAGATATGACACTGAACTCTGACAAGGATGCATTTTTTATTATTCTACACCTTCTTCTGTCGCTTAGAGGAGGTATAAGCAGGCAGCACTGTTTCCCAGCACCTGGCCAAAAGATCCCAGACTGGGCTAAAGAGTTCTGGGACATCTTTAACAAGGAGTCCTTTGACACGTGACTGAAATGGAGAGCCCAGGACCACACCATTAAACTCATTCCAGATGCCAAGCCCGCCAACTGCAAGGTGTACCCCTTCTTGCCCCTCAAGCAATACAAGCTTGGGCTACATATATGGAAAATAATTAATAATGGCAATTTGGACAGAAATGATGTAGCTAGTTAGAATCATCACAACCTTTGATGGTAATCAAGAATGTTTCCACATTGATGACATTATATAGACACCATCAGTTCTATTATTAAATACTATAGCAGTAATCTTAAATCAATAAAATAAGCTTTTGAAGGAATGTGACACATGTGACAAAAAGCCCTGCTCAGTGTATCCGACACTAGACATGCTCGCTACAGCTAGTTGCATTTGTAAAGATATAACACCTATGACTCCTAAGCTACCTGGTCCTCAACACAATGACCATCAAAAAACTGCCACTGGTACCCTCTTCTGCTGATCAACAACCTTATCAACTGGCTCAAAGGTGCTCATTACTGCACCAACCTTGATGTGTCATGGATAAGACCCAGCCCGTCCACTCCAGCACTGGTGTCGGGTCATCGCGGGCCCATAACATGCAGCACATGAAGACAGGGAGCAGGTGCCCAGTATGGAGGAGCATACATGGGGAAGAATGTGACCAAGAACAACGTGTCAAGTCAACACCAGGGGACTAGGGAGGAGTGCTAGGAGGTTAGGAGTAGTGCCTGGCCTGCAAGGGATGTACGATCGTTCCCTCTGCGGCTAGGAATAATGGCAAGGAGGAGCAGAAGAGGCTAAGGGTGTTCAATCACCCTGCATATATAAGGTGTGATATATTACATACAGAGTACACTATTGCTTTTGTACATACAGAGTATACTATCACTTAGATATTATCTATAGTACCGCTTCTCTCTGTGCAAAAAGGTATCACTGACTCATCAGGCATGGAACGACTCGATTCAAACTTCAACACCAACAGTGACAAGGGCCCGTGTTAATGGGCCCTTTTGGTTCCAACCTACCCTGCTCGCTCTGCTTGCAGGCCTGACAATCTGTCTGTTCTGTTCTGGACACGTGTTCTCAGGAGAAGCCATACATGGCCTGACCCAAAGCCTGACACGATATTTGTTGAAAGGAGGTGACCAGTACTATTGTGTCATATCCGTGCATCTGTCATGTGCCGCGGCCCGCGGACTGGTCACGGCCGGCCGGCCTCCGGCCCGATCCGATCTGGTCGCTCCGGCGACCTTGTACTCTGTATGTCTTTCGCCTTGTTACTTATACCTCTGTATGTCCTTATGCTTGTTACCTTCCATATGCACTCCATACCTTGTACTTACTTATGGTCTTCCCTTTCTACTTACTCTTAGTATTTAAACAGCTAAAGTAGCTACGGTACTTTAGCTTGATTATAAACGTTACTGGCACTCCTCCTCTGTGCGGAACTCTTGTCCTTCAACCGGACTCACTCCGCTTGCGGGCCTTGGTCCACTCCAACTCCGCTTCGGTCCGGTTGGTCTTGTGTTCATTTGTGTCAGGCAGCTACTGGCTTGTTAGCTATAGTAGAAACCCCCCTTCTGTTCTGCCCGGCACTTGACATATTGAGAGCCACCATACTTACACTTCTGAAGTAGGATAATTTATTATGATATATTTTAATGCAAGGAAAGAGAATCAAATCTGAAGCCAAACAAGCACTTACCCCTGCTTTCAGAACTTGTTGAGATATTCCATCCAAATTCAATCATTTTCCAGTTCCTTGGTCCACAATTTTAAACATAAGTTGGCCTGACTGCTATCTGTTGTTTTGTGCTCTTCTGACCATTATAGCTGAAATCAGTTATTTGGAGTATGTGTAAGGGCAACCCCGGAGGCCTGAGATCAAGGCCTAGCAGGGGAGGATCCAAAGCGTGAACATTGGTAAGCAAATACAAATGAAGCTGACCTAGCAGGGGAGGATCCAAAGAGAAGAAACTCTAAGGGTCCGCCTGCTAGGGAGCTGACTATATACTGCTTGTCCATAGCTGCCGCTGTCGGGCACAGAAGGCTTGGGCAGCGTCGCAGGCAAGGTCCCAGGGCGACCGTTGGGAGGGCGTTGACGGATCGGTGATTGTGCGCGCGAGATGGAGGGCCGGACCGGAATCGGAGACGTCTCCGAGGGGCCGAAAGGGGGGTTCCCCTGACATCACCCCCCCCCTTTGAATGCGGCGTCCCGACGCATAGACCGGAACGGAATCGAGTCGAAGGTTGCAGAGGCAATGTGCCGTGGTTTGCCAGGGTACTTACGATAGAACTCCGCGATTTTGTCCGGGGCGAAGACGCGGTCGAAGCGGACCCACTGGTCGTGCGACGCGTCGTAGCCTTTTCATCTGACGAAGTAATTCAGCCGTTTATACCTCACCCTTGCGTCCAAGATTTCCTCTACTTCCCACTCCGGGACTCCGTCCTCGAGGTCCGGAGGGG